ATTGTGAAAGAATAAAAATGCATTTGGACTATTCCCAGGTTTTACTCATAAGCTCAAAGACGTCTAGTCAAACTATGTTGTCTTTCTCCATGTTTTGGTGTGGATTTTTTTTTTGTCTCTGGTTTCTTTGTATGACTAAATACCTGGTCTTTGCTTTATTAAATATAAAATTTATTATGTGATCACTATTAAGCAAACTGTCATTAAATCTGTAAATGTCAGAAAAAACAAGAGAAACAGTAACTATTAAAATACAGGATTAGCATAATAGCTAAGAAGCAAAGGTAGAGATGAAACAGCCATTTCCTTAGAAGTAAAAATTCCGAATAAATGTGAGAAGTCTTCAAAGAAAAAAATGCAGAAAAGGAATGAAATACACACTCTTCATCATGTTATGTATTCTCTGTGAAACAGAACAAATTGTACACTTTTATTTAGGAACAGTGTTTAAGGTGCTTGGAAATTGAGTTGGACTTCTTGTTTTTCCCTGAGTTAAATGTTCTGAATTAGTGCCTCCTTCGGTAGGTATGCTATACATCTTTGGTTTCCTGCTATCTAGGCCTTTTTGCTACTCTGATTCTGCTTGAGCCTGCGTGATCATAAACCACAATCACAGGGCTTGCTAGCTATGCAAAGTCTCTGTACTTTATTCCTCCTCCATAAAACAAGTGATATAACCTTCAACAAATACAGTAAACAAAAGCTATTTTCCTCCTCTAGTCACAAGGAGAATTAGCCTTGGCTCTGGTGTGTTGTTCACATCTATCCACTTATGATAGGAAGTCTTTATTCTTTTTAAAGAAACAAACATCCTTAAAACTGATTAGCAAACTTAAGTGGCATAGTGAGCTTGTAAATCATTATTATGGAATATTTGTCTTTGAACACAATCTATTTGTATAGTAAAATGTAATGAAAACCATTGATTAAAAGTTAGTGGCAATTGTGTTCCTTCTGTTTGTTAAAGAGCAAGTAGAGAGAGAGGCCAATTGAATATTTCCCTGAATGGGTAATTTCAGGAACATTTTTAGCAAGGAGCAACCATGACATGATTTCCTTCCTTCAAGTTTATGCATCTTAGCTGTTGTCCACAAAACAGTTCTCTTACAGAGCCCTGTGGCCCCCTCTGAACTACTGTATTCTATTTTACACTACCACAGGGTAAGCCTATGCTTTCCAGCATGCGATTATATGACCACATCACGTTTGCCTGTACGGAAGTGTTTTTAGGTTTGCCCATGCTAGTGCTAAACTAACCAAGTCAGATACTTAGCTGGTGAGTTGAATGCTGTTGTGACTACACAGCTGGTATTACTGAGTGAGTTTAGGACTAGCTCAGGCCTGACTACATAGAATCATTTAGGTTGGAAAAGACCTTTAAGATCATTTAGTCCAGCCATAAACCTCATGCAGCTAAGTCCACCACATGAACTTTGTAGCAGTGACACTGGTGTTACGTATGGTCATGTGAAGCAAAACAGGCTGTGATAGTGCCCTTAGACTCTTACAGCTGCTGGTTATTAAGAGGGCTCACCTTTTCTGAGTGTTGCAGCAGTAACTGCCTGGATTGGTGTAAAGAAGGGGAGCAGGCCTGCAAGATGCATTTCTGGTGGGAACAGGAGAGGTACAGAGGTGGTAGGGATGTCATTATACGCCCAACGGATGAAGGTTTCCTCTCTTTATTGTCAAGCTCAGACAAACTGAGTTTACTATTGATTTTTAGTGCCTCTGCACAACTGTGATCTTGAGATGTTTTGGAGATTATTTTGGGGCTAGAAAAGGAGATGGCAGTTTGTGGATAGGAGCTTAAAAGGGCTGTCCTGATGGTGCCTGTATAAAAGGCACTCGAATTCATGCCATTTTTATTGGAAGGGGATCTCAGCAGTATGATCAACCTTGGGATTGCCCTGTTTTGATACAAGCATTATGCAAACCTTGTAGTTAGAAGTACTGTGCAAATTTTTAAAGCAGTCAATCACTCACTGTCTTTCTGATTCTCGGTATCCATAAAATTTTCCTGGAGAAGTTTAGATACCTAAAGAAATTTCATCTATAGTGGTGTGTGGCAGATACAGTACTTACTTTTCTTAGTTGCTTGCTTCAGATCTGTTAGCAGTAGTTAACGGACACCAATATCTTTTCTGATGCGGTGGATCAGGTGTGGGAAGAAGTTGATACTCCTGATGGTGTGGCTATCTGCTGTACACAGACTTCTCCCCAGAGAATTGTTCTTCATGTTCTGAAGAAATTGGGAGCTCAGTGGCTTGTAAGCTTGAATACATTTTTTGACTCTGTCTGTTGCTGTGCCATATAATGAAAACAGCTTTTCCCCTTTATTTCTCATTCCTCTTCCTGTAATCTACTTTTCTTCAACTCCATATGCCTATTTGGCCAAGTGTATCCCTGGTTTTTTTCAATTATCAAACTATGCCCTTTAATTCTGACCTTTGTCACTGACACTCTGTTATCGCTTACCTGCTAGACTGTATCTTGTGGAGTCTAGCACTGTTGCAATTGTTTCTGATAGACAGAGGGGAAAAAAAAGTAGTTGGTGTCCTTGAACCTCATACAATTTTATTCTTAGTCTGCAGCGGCTATCACTGAAAGGATAGAATTTGCCCTGAAAAATTTACAATTCTCTTTTCTTCTTTTATCCTCATGACTGCTATGATTTATTTTTTTTTCCAAAGTCAGTTACTCCAGGAAAAGAAATGGTAGTTTACTTCTGCTTTCTCAATTCCTGAAGTATTTCTTCTGAGGAAAGAGATACTGAGAAATATATTAGCAATGCCAATTGTGTAATGGCATTGCACCTATTTTAAGTCCCTGTATCTTTACTAGAATGATCTCATGTTATTGGATAGGAAGAAAAAAAAATTAATTCTGGGTATTTGGAGTGAGAGCTTTACTTATCCTAGGAAAGCCTTTGTGCCTTGTGATAGGGAACTGGTAATAAACTGCATAGAGATTGCAAGTTGAAGTGATGATAAAGGGAGATGTCATTAAACAAAAAATGTAAAGAGATAGCTAGAAATACATTCTGAACAAAACATTCAATTTTATTACCATCCAAGAATAAATAAAATCAACAATAAACCAGCTGCTGTACTTGTGGCAGAATGTCATGCCAGTGATGTGAGATGGTAGTGAATGTTTTTATGTACAATTTTGTGAGAGTTTACATCTTGGCTGGAGTGCAGCCACAAAACCTTATAGATTTTATAATAAAGAGCAGGGGAATGGATCAGTTTGTTCTGAGTTTCAGAATTTACAGCCTGTAAGATTAAGCACTAAGACTGCATGTAATTAGTCTGTTATGATCCCTTTGGCTTGCATAATTTTTGTTTTCAGTGGTATATAAAGAAGCAGCTGCTCTGATCCAGAGCTGACATTGTCTTTCATGCTTAGGACTGCCTCCAGTGTTTGTTTTCTTTTTTGCTGCCTAGGCCAAGCCTGTGCAAAAACTACTACTTTTTTCTCTGAATTGTACATTTGAAAAGTTCACTTTTCAACAGATAATTCCAGAATGAAATATGGATCAAATCTAGTTCACTATAAATACGGTTTGGACATTTTTAGATAATTTTTACATCTTGGTTCCTACATGCTGTTGCTCTTTCTAATCTTGGATTTTTGGTTTTCCTCTTGTACTTGTATTTCATCTGTGAGATATGCTCAGTTTGTATGCAGTGAGTTTTGAGTTGTGCCTGTTTCTGCTTAAACTTAGACCAGTACTTTGTTGAGTATGTGGGATGCTACATGCAGATACCTGGGGTTGCTGTGGTTCCTTCTGTGCTGCTCTGAAATGCTGGATGACAGCATAACTGGTAGAATCACAAACACATTTATGGAGCAAGGAGACAGAAAACTTCCTCAACTGGTGAGTGCAGTGAGAGAGGTAGATGAAAATGCAGCATAAAAGAATGACACCTAGAGGCATTTAGGAATGAGCTAAATGGTGTGGTGTCCATGGTCGCGGAAGCCAGTATTTTTTTTTTGCTCTTCAGTAATCTTATTGTAGGAACATGTACTTAAAACTATGTTGTTTTTGGTTTCTGGCATAGTGGTCACCTCAGTAAATGCTGTTGTCCTTACTCCAGTGCAAGC